CTCCCCCTCCCCCGCGGGCCGCTTTCCTCTGAGTGGCCGCTTTCAGAGTTCACCGCCCCGGGCGATTCGAAGTCTGGCGGCGGCCTTCACCTTGCTGCCAAGGTGTTCCCCTGCGCCAGGTGGGGCAGTGGGAAGCTGCCGTCCACAATTACCATTACTCTTTCTATATTCGTTCACGTTGGGATACCCATGTTGTTGTAGTGAGTGCTCGCCTTCCAAGGTGTGGCCGAGTTACAAAACCCGGTCGATCTATGAGAAATTTGTGATGGATGAAGCTGGTTCTCGGCAGGATTTCTCGGGGTTCTCCCGCTTTACATTCTATCTTCATATTCACCCACCTATCAAAATCACTGATTGACCCACTCCAGGTGATTGACCCAATTGATGATGTTCCCACATTCCAGGTATGGCCTTAAGGACCGAGTATTTCAGGGTTATAAGAAATAGACCACGAGGCTGTGGGCAAGTCCATCGCCCGGCCCTAAGGAGCGGTGAGGGGGACAAGTTGGGAAAAATTGCGCTTCGTCGACTAACCCGTGGACCAGACGCTGTTCGGGCGCGCGCCTGGAAATGTTCAGAGAACCTCATGTGAGATGCTCGATCGAAGTAGAATATCAGATACCTGGCGACCCAGCTGGGTGAGCCGAGGGATGACCTACCATTGCGGGATTCTAATCCTTTCTTTGACTACGAGGTTTGTCAACTTCTTACAGTGAAGCCTGCTCAGACGGCCACCTCCATTAAACGGTGGCCAACAAAAAACGGCCATTTTTTGTGAATCTGATAATATATGGTTTTTCAATAAGACATGTAAATATTCACTCTTTTCAGTGGCCATCTTACTTAGCGTCCAGCAAAGTTACATTTCGCTTTATTAAGCTGTCGCCTCAAATCATTTTGAACTGAATTATAACAGAAGTGGTGGAGATGGATTGATGCAATAATATCTCCCAGCGACTAGACGCATTGCCGGATTACTTCGCATATGACATACAGAGTCTATCTGGCAGAGGGATTACTTTCTGTTTTTGATAAAAACACGATTTTAATAAATAAAACAAGGAAATAAGGGAAATGAACGCGTTTCATTAAATATTTATTTAATGATACGCGTTCATTATTCTTATTTCACAACGTTCTATGGCTTGTTAGATTTTACTTTCCTCCTGTGGGAATCTGTTAATGACTCTCGTAGCACGCGGTGTACGCGAATCCGCCCTACAGGTCATTCGCCAACTTCGTCGTCAAAAAACACTGCTGTAAAGGTTCTACAGGATATGAAGTGCATCTTGAAGTTTAGTTTGGGTGTTTGATTTGGCGAGACCGGAAAGTGAGTTTCTCGATTAAAAGAATGAGTGACAAAGTTAAGCGTGTGTATTGATATTAGCCGCGAGGAACCAAATACTTTGTTTAAATTATATTTCTTCATTTATAGTAGTTAAAAGTGTTAAAGAGCACACCTCACTTCATAGCAATCAGGACAATTAGATTTGATTTACTCTTTCAGTTACCTCAAAACTTTTATTAAGCGGCATATAGAAGGGTAGTACCCTGTCATCTATTATTTTATCTATTGAATCACTCCCCTACAATAGTTTGGTCATTGGGAAGCTCATGGTTCGAACATACATTCGCATTGTTAACTGGCTATTAGGATGTGAGGGTAGACATTTAAAAAAATAAAATCTGTATTTTATGCATGGGAGAGAAGATCATCTGCACAAGTTTTCTTGAATTCCAGAATTCATTCCCATCATTTTAACTATAATTAGTTTAAAGATGAGTAAAAGTTAAAGATAAATTAATACAAATAATTTTTTTTAAAAGCGCGAGATTAGCGACATTTGAAAAACTACACATTTTCGTTCTAGAGTTATAGAAAACTGATTTGTAACGGTAAACGAATTGCAGATATGATTTTTCTGCATTGCTAACAAAATAGTAACTTGTCTTTACCTCTACTCCTACCATTACAAGCAAAAGAAGAGTTCAACAAAACGTGCGCATAGTGAAGCTACATTTACGTCCAGAAGCAAAACAAGGGGCCATTTCTGTATTTGGTCAATAGATCCGGGAAACTGGACAAAAACCTCCTCGAGATCGGGGTCATTGAAACCGAAGCTTAAGTACATTATTTTTTACAAACATTTTAAATCTTTTTTTTAAAATATACAAATCAAATGTAAACTAATTCATTATATATTACTGTTTTTCTGAAATAAACATTATTTTTCCTTTTGATGAGTAGTATAATCTCTAATAGTATAGAAACAGTTATGCAGCAGAAAAGGTTTTACTTTTTAGTTAAACTTGTGAACCGACTTCAATTGTTTAATGTCATCTGACAATGCGTTATAAAGTAACGTACATGTATTGTATGTGGATTTCTGATAGTGAGTTGTTGATACTGACACTTGATGGACGTGATTTTTACGACGTGTGTTGTAATTATAAATACTATTGCCTAAAAATATGTCCCCACCGTGAAGTAAAATTTAATAATGACATTTTGGTCAGCGCAACCTACCAAAGTATTTCATACTTTCTGTTCTGATAATGACTTGAGAGTTTCTTTAGGTGGATGTCAGGTATTGACTATTGGTTGATTCTGATCC